CCAAACAGCAGTTCAACGTAGCACTGCTGCTGCATTTCAAGTCAACTAGCTGGGAAATACTCAACTAGCGCGCTCGCGATGCCGCTACATGGGACCAACGAGATCCATCCAAAGCATGTGCTGCTGGAGCTTCAAGATGGACCGAGCGCCTGGTCATGGGCACCCGAACGATAAGTTTCGGAGCGCGGTTTACCTTACCGCTAGGCTTTTTTCTGATCCCGCCTTGGCTTGCCCATAAAAATGCCCATGAGTCTAGTCGAACTAACACCTTATTCTAAATCGAGTTGCTTTGAGGTGGCCTGGAAATCTTGGAAAAAGTTCGACTCATGCTATAGGTGGTTGCCCGTCTAATCATCGATGAACAAATGCTACGGTCCTCATAACTTCATTGTGCCACTGAGAGATGCTGAGACTCACATGCCTCTGAGAAGGTACGCTTATGGTTGGACACTTTCAGCGATGAACAGATGGGAGTAGAAATGGGCGGAGACTCTCAACGTTGTGAATTCTTCAGTGGCACGCCACTCTTAAAGATACACTTAAAGACATATTTAGCGATGTCGCAGTGTCAAGAGTCTCCGCCCATTTTTCCGCCCATACGATTGTTGCTGAAAAAGTCATTTGTCCTCAACACAGTGACCCATTTTCACTGTTCTTTACTGACAGGAATTACCGTCGGAGACATTGGCCCGAAGATGGCGATTGGAGCTATTGACAACGGCTTTCTTAGCTTCGACCATTATCGAATTCCAAGGGTTAATATGCTCATGAAGCATGCTAAAGTAAGTCGTTGATGTTTCCCAGCAAACCATTTGTAAAAAAATTTATTGGTTGTTTAAGGTCACATCTGATGGAAAGTACGTTCGTCCTCCGCATGCTAAGGTCGGCTACTCCGCAATGGTGCACGTTCGCTCATTCATGATTGGTGATCAAGGAAAGCTTCTTGCTCAAGCTCTCACCACTGCCATACGGTATTCGGCGATCCGACGTCAAGGAGAGATTCGACCCCGGTAAGCAACAGCGGGAATAATCGAAAACAGCATTCAAGCTGTCGACGCACTGCCACTACAGTGGCACTCTAATGCTGTAGACGATCATGCAGCTGTAAGAGGGAATCGATTGATGCAGGCTGCTTGCATTTTGAGAGAGTGTACAATGATAGGGGTAGGCGCTACCGTCATGAGGGGTAGGCGTTACCGTCATGCAGCCTGGCGCTCTCCTACACTTCTATACCCCCCAAAACCTTAGCAGTCAGAGCCGATCGATACCGAACTGTATGAAGGCAGCGCCTACCCTGCTGTTATCCTATACTCTCTTGAAATACAAGCGGGTGGCGTTGATCGATACCGGTCTATAGCATAAGAGCGACATCGCAGTAGCAGAGCCCCGACACCAAATCTGAATGCTGCTTTGGGGGTGACTGAAGTGGAACTGATCATCTCTGTATGTTCCAGAGAAGGAGAAGTGAAAATTCTCGACTATCAAACACAGCAACATCGCCTACTTCCACAGCTTGCTCGAGCGTATGCTTTCACTTTCACCGGTCGAGCTGTAAGTGACATGTACATGAGGGTACGAAAGGATGTATTCTTAGGAAAAGTGAGCATTATCTTGATTTCCCATTTTCGCTTATTTCAAGTGCAACGAGCTAAGCAAGAGGTGGCTGCTCCAACCATCAGGACCACTTCAAACTACACGGCTGGTGACTGCATCCGACACCCTTTATTCACGCTACGGAGCGAATGCATAGCTTAATGTTAATACCCTTAGCCAAATGAATTGTTGATTTGTGAGAGAAGCTAAAGTTTTCGATACTAATCAACCCTTTTCGAGAAACGCCATGTACCCCAACTTTACCTGAAATCGTAACAACGCCGTGAATGCAAATAGGCTTACATAGTGATTTGCAAGGATCAGCAGTGTTTTTTCTTGCAGGCGATGGTAGTACCAGCTTAGGGACAAGCTATACACCCACATAGAGGAGGTCCTTCCCATTTGCGAGGCCTATGAGTCCCAGCTGCAAGGACGTGCCACTTCCGCTCAAAAGTGTATGGGTATGGGCTGAAGGGTAGCGGTACCCGAGTGACGTCTCCATACTCCGCCCGCGCTATGCTAAA